GACCTCAAGCCTTATGGGTCACAATTAAGCGTCATGGGTCCTGGAGAAGGACATTGGCCGAGGACTGTCACCAGTCCAGCACCTTAGTCTAGCCTTTGATAGACTTCTAGTCCATGACAAAATGGACATACATACCCTCAGGTAAACTCAAGCGGAAATTCTTCTCTTCACCACCACTTCCAAACTCAAAGGCCTTTGAGGTGGCAACACGATAGAGGAAACTGGTGTACTCGTCGAAACGCTTCATCTGAATACTGACAACGTTACCTGTGGTGGGTGAAAAAAAGAGCAGACTGGATCACAACGGTTGAAAAAATGTGATCGCGACGATCCACACAAGGGAGAGTGATTTGGCAACTCATGAAAAAATATGACTTTATTTCAATTTGTTTGCAAATTTAATTGTTGATGTAAGAACACCTCAGCAATGGTATGTCTGTAACCCGTGTACAATGCTGTCCAGTGAACTTGTTGATAATTGGAAGTTTTCTTTAGGAAGCACAACCCCAACCCTTGAAATGAACGTGAATATCCTAAATACAACAACTTAATATTCATTAGACAGTACAACCATTCCTATGACAACGAAACACCTATGAAATCTGGTCCCTCTTCCCTCGTTGTATCGTCGTAACATTCAAAACCCCCCTTCTGTTTGCGCAATGACTAACAATCAGTCCGCATTTTGGAAGTTCTAAATTCACATTAGAGCGGCCCATCGCATCCTGCACCATCTCCAGAGCAAATCTCCATAAAAGGAGACTGTTTACAACTACTCATGAGAGGCACATACCAAAACATGACTAGAGGGGTGTTTAAAAAAAAAAGTAAATTTGTTGAACAAAAATCACATGAAATTCATAATTCTTTCTTTGTTTTGACTTTTTGACTTGGAAGGTACATTATCTATGATTAATGTCTCTCACTTTGAGCTGGGGCAATTAATCAGCATCCCTTCTCCTGATCTGGTCTTAAACCAACGTTTAAGACCTGCCAAGTACATATTTATTCCCTTATGGAAACATCATTTATTTGGACTTTTACAGTTATTCAGTGAGACCCGCTTAATCACCCTTCCGTCAGACTACAGAATTCTTTTTAAGTCAGCAACACCATCATCGTCACCCCCAGGAAGGCATCAAGGGGGCGCTAAACTGCTCAAGATCTCCTCTGTTTTTGTTTTAGACTATTTGGGGACGAAAAACGGATGAGGTTGGACTACACTAAGAGAAAAGGCATAGCTATCAACTTGCCAAGTCACCCTTGTTTTCTGCACACAAGAACCTCCTTATAACTTATTGATGTTGACAAAAAGACACGTTTTCCCCATCTGAATGTGCACGGTTTCAGATGAAAATGCAATGCCCATATGCATCATCTGTGTCACATGAGCACCGTTAAGCCTAACCATGCTGAACCCAACAAGGTTATGCAGGATTTCAATGGTCCCCAGTGCATGCTAGTGTTGGGTGGTTCTGTGCAATAATTGATTAGAATCAAGTCCAAACTTTCTATTAGACTTGTATTTCCACTAGTTTTCATAGGAAGCAATTTCCCAAAGTGATTACATGTACATCTGATTTGGACTATGTCTGATGCCCTGATTGAAATCAGGAGTGACAGATAATGAAAATTAAAATTTCAACGATGATAACTTGATTTGGCTGTGCAATGGGACTTCCGAGGAGAATAGCCTTGAAGATGGAAAATGGCAGACAAACAAAAGTCCTGTGGATTTCTCTGTTTGATTTTTGCGTTGTTTACTTCTGACCAGAATTTTTCTGTTCGTGTGCGAGGAAGAGGTGGCCAATATTCCTCCAGAAGTATACTCATGAGGCAGGTCACCATTTGCTTGAACTAAAAATTGCTATGTCCAAATACAATACCAAACATTCTTGGCAAACTCCCTCGTATTTCTTATGGTGGCACTGTACTGAAATCATTTTGTATAGAAATTCCCAAAGGTAGCATTTTGTCATGCCAGTTTTGCCAGTGGAAACTGGAATTGATTTTGAGTGATATTGTGATTCCTGAATGGAGTTAAAATTGACTCCAGGAATCGGCCGGCACTGGTGTAACAATGTGTGGGTTAAGCCCACAACCCAATTTCACTGCGCTGCTAAGCACATAATTATACGTTAACAGAGGCTCTGCGTATTTCACAGAGATGGTAAGCAGTAAGCACGGCAAGAGGCACGTACGCTTACCTAAGAGGACAAATTGATTTAGTGTAGTAACAGCACAACGGAAATCTCTTACGCATGTGCAAACGTAGGCACAACCACGCCAAGTACCACCATGAAATAGTGCTCCCAGTTAGCAAAATTGTCTGCTGTAGTAAGCATGACATTTCTGCTGTTTAGGCAGTGTCATGAGATTGGGCCCAGGAACAGAGCATCATGATGTTACACCCGTGTATGACCGAAAGGGCATACATGTGCAGGTGTTACATTAAAATATGATGTGATACGCAGTCCTGTAAAAAAAAAAAAAAAAAAAAGGGGGGGGGCAATTTCCATGACCTCTACACTGAGTCTTCAGCTGAATCTCAACATTGATGGGAGAGCTATACATGTACCGTATATACATGTACATTGTAAGTCACAAATGGGTCTCAGTGCACAGCTAGTCCATCGTCTGTCAGTACGTAGGTACCCACATAATCACAATTGCTAGTGACACTTAGAGACAAAAGATTTGTGCGTCTCTTTCATATCTCCTACATACCTCCTTCTGGGTGTACTCTGTAGGTCTTGACGCTGTCCACATAGTCATCTTTGCTGGCCACCAGCTCCAACGGGACATCAGCTGGCACTTGTAAGGTGACCAGACCATTCAAATCTGTGGTGCCCTCTGCGACAATCTCAGTCTGTCCATCGTCGCGGTCCAACAGCGCCCTGACACCGACCTCTGCTAGGGGCAGATCCTCCTCTGCTGGATCAACCGCTACTATCATGACTGGGATCGTCGTGGCTGCACGTGATCATAATGAATACAAACCAGTATTTATTACAAAGGTTTACGCAAACGTTATAAGGTCGGATGCCAGCCATTACGACATCCAATGCTGTTTCCAATTCAACTGCTTCTCCATGATTGCAGGTACCACACACTTCTGTGGGAAGTGACTGCAACTCACCAACGGCCAGTGGTACCATGCATGGGCGCATGCATGATAACCAGACCATGTCATGACTTACAGGGGTGGTCAAACTGTGAATAACCTTTACACTACACGACAGGCTCTGACCCATCAAGTAACTTAAGACTGCAGGAACTACTCTTGGGAGGAGTTCAGGAAAAAGCGAAGCAAATTTGATGGGGAAAAAAAAGGCCGTGAAATCTACTCGAGTTGAAATGTGTTCAGCTGTTTCGAATACACAGCCAAAATTTTTGATCTGATGTCACAATTTGGTCACTTTTAGACCAAGTATGAGTTGGCTCTCTTAGGCTCATGCCTTTTGGATATGCACATACCCTTACATTTCTTGTGAAATTACTTGATCAAAGACTTACGTGATCATGCCAGGGCTCACCATGACCTAAACAGAACTTGGTGCAAAACCATATTATTGGGCTCTTCAAATAAAGAATTCCACTAATCGGCATGCTATGCACAGGCTTCTGATGAAATTGCTGCAGAAATAGCCAACAAGCCCGTTTAAAAAAAGATCTAAACTCTTCCCACATTAGGAATGAACATTACCAACTACATGGCCTTGCCAACAAGGTTGTGTGAATGTGCCCGAGAATCAAGTTATGTAGGCACTGTGTGTGTACGCAGAATATATCCACATATTGTAAAAGTTGTGAATGAATGCAAGCAGTCCAGGATGACACAACTAAGTGTTATTCAAGCTTGTGTGCATGTTTTTCTTCATTTTGCCATCCACTGTGGTTTGTGGTATCACATAGACACGAAATGAACCTCATCATTGAAGTAAACCTGTTTCTGTAAGTTTGTTTGTCCTGCTTCAGGTTTATTATATCTTGGGCTCCTTCCGTTACATAATGCATGGAGGAAGCACAGTGTGGTCCGCGAGCCCCCTTGAAGAAAGGCTGTGATAGGATACTAGCATATGTGCGTGTACATACCATGAAACATGACACTATTTCCAATTACCTATGACGCTGGTGATGCATATGGTTTAAAAGCAGGGTCCAAGTACAGTATTGGCCAATTTTCAAGGGTTATCCAATGGCATGGCAAAGCAATAGTTTTGAAGTGATCCCTTGAAATCCATTCTTAAAGATCTTAAAGACATTAGAATGCTCATCCCAATCTCGTTATTTTTATCTATCACTCCTTACAAAACCCTGATGATATTGAAATGGCAGTAACATGCGTCAACAAAGACAGCAGTCTGCCTTTAGACACTGAGCCAAAAAGACTAACGACCAGATTTACGCAGAAGCCATTCCGGTGAGATCATCCAGCCGGCAGGTGGTGTTGGCCCTACAGAGTGCTATGACCAGCCAAAGTGCAATCGGGCACTCAAACAGGGCATGTGGGCATGAGTGTGGCGGCTCTGCAGTGTGGCATCGCCGCCGCGGATTAGTCGTTATGAGGACAAGGGACTTTAAATCCACTGTTTAGTCACAAAGAACTGATGAAGGGATAAATTTGGGTCCTTTCCGGATGTAGACCTACGTCGACTCTCAAATCGTCCACAGATTTTAATTCCGCTGAGTCAAAAACACTGATCTCCCACATTGGGGCAAGATTGGAGAAAAATAAAAAATATCCTGGAAGTAATAACCGAAGGTTTGATCATGGCTCCACAGCAGTGTAGGGTCCATGCTTGCTTCGAGGCACACCTTAGAGTACTCATTTCTTGTGGTCAATATCAACTGTTATGCCTAAAACGCCATATACTCAGGATTTTCTGGATTTTAAAATAGATGGCTCGAAAAATCCTGACACCAGGATGAAAAAATCTCACCTCTGAAAAGCACAGTTACAGATAATAAATGATTGATCAAGAACGTGAAAAAATTTTGTCTGAAACACATACGGGTGCAAGTTTCTCCATCTCCGACAAACGTGGGCGGGCAACTGCCGCAGACGTATTGCTTGACTACGGTAGTCCCATCTGCTGGTACACTGCCTTCAGGGTTCACTGGTCTGTCCGTACATTCCACGTCTTGGAAGCAGGGATTGTCCAAGCAAGTTGTAGTGTCTTAAAATAGAATGGAGAATCCAGGAAGGGATTTAGATATATTAAGAAAGTATACAAACGAGGCTGATAACTTGCCAACAGTATCATCAGCCCAATCACTAAGAGAGCTTTGACCTATTGCTTGCTAAATTCAATGTAGCACGATGGGGCTAAATGTGGCATCACTGATCAGTTCAAATGTCGGAGTCCGCTTCTGAACGGCACATCTCCTAGGTGACACGGTTGGAAGATGTGTCTCACAGAAAAACTATGAACTTGTGAATGGTTGAAGGGATTTAACCATGTTTAACATTTTGGATAAATTGCAAACATCCATGCAAAAGTCAAATGGTACTTAAAGCCCATATAGTGTCAGCATCTGGCAGCCTCTCTCCCCCCCCCTTCAATGCCCTGTCCCCGCCCCCAATCTGTACCCTACAACCTTGCCCAAGGTAAAGGCCAGTTAACACTTGGTGTGGAAGCCAACACAACAGTTGTACTGTCATGAGAGAGTAAGTGAAAACATTGATACCTGGGCGCTGTACAGTATACGTACCGACCGGAATGCACCTGTAACCATCGCCAACATAGCCTTCATTGCACTTGCACTGAAACCCACCAAGGACGTTGACACAGATAGCGTTAGCATCGCAGCGATTACTGTCACATTCATTCTCATCTGAGCATGGAGAATAAAAGATGAGTTGTGACATAAAACCCAACTGTAACACTTTGAGGATGATTTGAATTTGATAGGGAGGATGTGGCATTGATTCATCAAAGCTTGCCCCATAAATGAATACAACTTACTTAAGGACTTGATAGACTTTGTGCAAGACCCAGGACTGAATTAAGAAAAGATTCAGAAATTAAGGCAAAGAACTTAAAACAAGACACCAGACATTAGAAAAGCTTAGCTGAGAACTTGAGATATGATGACAGTCAAATTGATAGAGATCAACGACATCGAGCCAAGAATGAGTGCTTGAAACTAGACTCAAGACTGTAACAATATTTTAAAGAAAACACTAGAAGCAAACTTCAGGACTTCATGTTGAGAAAAAAAATGACTAACTCAGAAGACAACAGATTCAGACCTAATGACACAAATTGAAATGTGGCTGAATACCTCAAAATTGGAAGAAAAAACACTACACACAACTAAGGCATAAATACATATAGGTTGAGACAAAGAATCACAACTTAACACAAGTTTGAAAATATGCTTTCAAACTCAAGTTTCTGAACACCGTTGCCACAAATCAAAGAACTCAGACAAGACTCAAAAACTTGAGGTTGACCGAGTACCTTGGACCAAAGGCAGCATTTGAGACAAAAATTATAACTTCAGTCACAACTTTCAAAGACTCAGGTTTAATCAGAAAACATTTAGTTACTCAGACACGGAAGCAGGAACTCCACTCAACTAGCCAAGACAGGAGCCTTTTCATTTGAGTTTCTCCAGATATCCAGTCATCTGTGGACTGACTCACCCACACAATCCAGCTCCCCATTGACGTAGGCAAACTTGTAGCCAGCTGGACACAGACACATGTAGTTGCCGTAGGTGTTCTTGCATCTTCTCCCAGGTGGACACTCTGCAGTGCCCGATGCACACTCGTCCACATCTACAAAAGATAATAAAAAACACAATGTACATTTGACTTCTTAAAAAATGTGTGTGACTGTCTAGGAAAACAGTCTTTCTTCTCTCAAAATGAATTTCTGTCAGGAAAGGGGGGAAAACATGCCTCCCTATCAAGCCTCAGTGCTGGACTGCCTTGGGCCCAACAACATTGTGCTGTAAAGTGGTCCGGAGAGGATTAATTCTTTGAAAATTGTACACAAATTTCTGCAGTCAGAGAAGACCACAGCCTACTTTGCACCAAGGGGCACTGTGGCTGCCACGCATTTTGGCTGTCTCTCATTTCAAAAATTCAACAAAATTGCACATTTCCAAATGGCTGTCTCCAAATTTCTTGGAGAAGTAGCCAAAATGTTTGTCATTATTATTACATAGCAGCAAGAGTCCCTGTCGATGTAATTGTAATAGTCGCTTTAAACTAAAAAAACAATGCATACATGATAAGAAAAAGGTTTCCAGCCTTCTGCCAAGTGCATACCGCTGTGTGGCCCTGGCTCAGATAGAAGCCATCAAGTTCCTAGGAACCATTCACTTAGTGCCCTCCTCCAAGTTATACCACCACTGCCCGTCAGTCAGATCCCCTCAGTGCAAATTCCAATTAACTCATTGTAATTTACAACAGTCAACGTTGTGTCAAGTCTTTTGCCAATGAGACTTGCATAGGCAACAATCTGGGCATGTTTCCCCTCTAACTCGTAGAAGTCTTAATTATCAAAACCAATGGAAGTTACTGTGTTAAAAGTTTTGTAAGTAGAGTTCTGCTTCGCAAACAATTTTCAAATGAGGGGAGGGGGCATTTGTGAGACAACCGGTATCACGCACTAGCCATTAATGAGTCTTCCAAAAGCGTGAAGGTTGGGACACCATTAACCCCTAAGTAAAAAAATTGGGGGGGGGGGGGTCATGTAGCCCTAGTGGTCCCCGTGCTTCCACCACCAGTGGTTGCAGATGTTTACAAAGTAAAGCATTCAACTACTAAACTTATGTTGGACGGAATTCACCCCCCGGGTGGTTTCGAATTCACTTTGGTTTCAAGAATACGACACAAGTTATTACATACAATAATAACTGTTGTGAGAAAACACTTTACGGTTCATGTTTGTTTCAGACACAAAACACAAGGTTATTAGGAGGCTATGTCAATTTGTGGGCATTAAAGAGTTTTATGCAGGAGGCTGTTTTTTGTCCCAAATAGCTCCTGAAATCTGAACTCAATCTCATCTACTTTTTATAGTTTGTTTGATTTCTCGGCTTATGAAGAGCACGCCATTAAGGCAGTGTCATCTCACACACGAACACAATGACACAGGACCATTACTTCTATTTTTACCTATATCTATGAATCATCAATTGTAGTGATGATCAAATATCGGAATCAGAAAATTGCATTTTTGATGACATCACCATGATGTCAAAGAATTTCAGAGAAACAGACGGGGTTACTTGAATGATCGGAAAAAAAAGTTTTGTTAAGGAGATACACTAAACAGAATGAAGACAAAACAAATCATAAAAATCATGTGATGACATCATCATTACATCACATTTGTATGTACACCTGAAGATCACAGGCCCTAGGTATGCTGAACATTTGTGTCAGGTTTCAAGATGACATGCTATGCTCAGTGATATAGTGCCTCGACGCTGAGGCTAAGTTGGCCTTAAGGTTGCCTAATAAGACTTGACATTTAGGGCCTCTGCCTTGAGGCTTGCAGGCAAATGCCTCAGCCTTCAGAATCAAATACCTTGCTATTTCAGAGCCTAGCTGTGCAAGGCCCATCAATGGTTAGATTTTCCAGGGCACCTAGACCGATTGTGCCTGCTAAGTCACATGACCTACAGTGGGTATCAAACATCAACAGACATGGTGTCCTCCCACAGCGAAATGTGTTTTAGGCAGTGTTAACAAAAATGAAGCCAATTTCTGGTAACACATCAGCGGAAGCGTGAGTAATGTACCAATCTTCAACTTTATTTTTGGTAAATGACACTTTTGACAGACTTTGCTATGGGAGGACACGCTTGATACCCATTATGGGTCATATGACACACACTGGGTGTAATCAGTCTAGTTTGAATTTTTGCATACATAACAGAGGCTCAGCTGTATAGCTGTTGACAAAATCTGCTGTGACTGGTATCTTATTCAATCAAAATGTTGCCATGGAGAAGTGAGACTTTTGCAATTTGACATTTTGGTACTGTAATAGGCCTAGGACATTTTGCATCTTCCAAAACACAAGGATTTAATCATTTTCTAGGCATTCATGTACTTGTGACAACAAGGCCCGGGAGATAGTGGAGTAGATTTGAAGAACATCATCCTATCAATGCTAAGGACTGCCGATCACACTATGCTGCTCTCCGGAACAGATAATCATGCTCATTAGAAGGTCACCTTCCACATGGTCTGATTTTGAAAGCACCATACAGAATTAGTTTTACTTATCATCTGTAACTGGATTTTTAGATAGTCAGTGTAATAAATAACCAGTTTGATACAGTGAGTTCAAACTGCATCCCAAATTTAACATTCATTTTCTCCCAAAGTAACAATCCTAAATCACTGATTTCTGATCCAATGAAAGCTTAGAGTATTTTTTTACTCATACTGAAATTTGTTTTGAATCTCGTGCTGCGATGCTGAGATATTTCGATTAAGTATCACAACTCAGTCTAATCATAAACAGATTCACTTGCAAGTATATGCAATCACTAAATTCAAATCCTACAATTGTCACACAGCAAGCTTAGATTCTTGACTTCTTCAGAATTTTGTCTAGTTCTGAAATTGATGAGGCTGGCCAGCGAATGTGTAAATTCCTATTTCAGAAGATTTGGTTGTTTAATTAACAGCGCAATGAGTTTACAACAAAAAACAGCTTCAGTCGAACAAAGGCTTTTGAAGTCAATTTGTAATTATGGTTTTTATCTTTTCTTCAACTGTAACATTAATCACTTCAAAGTTTTCACCATTTCAGGATGTTGTTTGTTTGTTGATGGAAAAGATGACAGGTTTTAACATAAACAGAACCCTGCCAAGTTCGTCGCATTCACGTTTTGTAGGTCTTTTCAATTATCTTACAGTGTTAAAATGGTCTCACGGTGCAAACACAACACTTTGATTGCCGACGTAATCCCACTGGACTAAAGGACAGAGCAGTTGTCTCACATTACTGAGGTTATTCACAGTGCATCATTGGATTTAAATGAAGCCTTCAATTTTGAAAAGAAAACATTCAAAGCTTCTATTTGAACTTCAAAACAATTTTATGCGATTATGTGGGGAAAATATAGATGTAACTTTTGGTTTGGGTTTTTTTTTGGCGGGGGGGGGTACTGTGTTAAAACGTGGTTTTATACTAGAGGACCATGGCCTTGGACTTGAGGGTTAAGCATTGGCCTTAATCTTAAAGTTTGATGACCAAAGGCTGAGCCGTGAAGACCAAAGCTTTTACTCCAACACTGCTTGTACGGTCTCGAAGAAAAGCCGCAAAGAGAGTATTACCGTCAAGACAAAAATAATACAGACCAGCGTAGTCCAAGGAGAAAGAACTTATACAGTAGGTGACGATATTCACTTTGAACCCGATTAAAGCGAATTTTACTCACTGAAGCTGAAGGTTTTCGCTTCAGAAAGGATGATTTCATCACAGAAGGCCGGCCATTTGCACGGAGTAGTCACTTTATGCCGCGCATGTTAGAAATAATGTTTAGCGCACCGACAACATGAACGAGGGCGCTCTTTTGAGTGTGCGGACACTGTCCATAGACAACACACAAGCAGACCGCTGCCGTGTCGATGCCGTTGCGTCTTAGCTAGGATTGAGGTGCACAGCTTAATAAACTTCTCCTTTTTCGAACTAGCCAAGGTGTAAATTTTCTCACCTTTTCAATAAAGTCGATATTCAATTCAAAAATTAATAACAGATCTGACGGTGTCCGTCGAACGGGACGCAGACGGAATGCTACATGGTCATTTATCGGAACACCCCACCATTAAAAGCATCAATTTTATGGGTGCATGATTATAAAAGGAACATGACTCCCATAATCCTGTCCTTTGAGTAAAAGTCCCAGGGATGAGTAGGCCTGTGCGGTTACGCATTAGTACATCAAACCTTCCGCAGCGTGCGTTCAAAATCCACTAATCCGCTCCCTCCCACCTAACCACCCGGTACCACGCTACCCGGTCAAAAATAGCACAGTTACGTGTACTCCGGCGACGTCACACACCAATTACACGTCGAATTCAATTTCATTACAAGTTTTCCTAGATCTCCCGTTCTCCATTTCTGTCTATCAAATACAAGAGGGATTTCGGCGATCAGACCTTGACATTTATGATGGCGGGGTGACATCCCAAACCAATAAAGTGATTATTTCCACATTTGCAACTACATGTGACATGTCGGGCAATAACTCACCGTAACGACGTGCACGTTACTTCTTGTCAAGTTCGACAGAACTTTTGAAGAAGTACCAACACCCTTAAATAAGAACTTCCGCAGGAGGAACGCCGAAAATTCGTCTCCTCTCGAGAATCATTTGAGTATTTATGCAGAGTGACAGTCTGGAAAGCTGTGCACCTTCTAAACGAATATTCATATCATGAACCCTTTAACTTTATGCTTGAAAATAACCTGTAAGCCCAAACTTTCTCCAGACATTACGATGCCTTATCAGGGCAACTGAGACTAGTCGGGTATTATTATCGGGTGGGTTGGGAGAAGGAAGTCGGGAGGTCTCCCAGGGACTACCAGGAAGTATTACTTTGCGGATGCTGGCTATTTTCGGTGAAAATTGGCATTTCCAATCTGGGCAATCTGTAGAGGCCACCCACAAACCTCGAGGAGGTTCCATAACAATGATGGTGCACGCACGCACAATCTGTTTTCATGTATGGACAAGTCAATTTTAAAGGCAGGTTGCTGAAAACTCTGAAGCCAACTAGGCTAATCAACAAGAATTTAAAGTCGATGTCCGACTTGCTGTTGTCAAGTACAAAACTGTTCGCCGATAAAATAGCCCGTGACCTCCACGGCCGGAGACCGTAGTCTTTCAACTAACCGTTCGTTGATGGGAAACAAACCGGTTTTTCTGAAACCGTTCTCGAACATATGGAATGACACCAACCGAGCCTGTACCTTAACAAATTACATGCACCTGTTTCTGCCTCAAACTGAAACACCCCCTCATCGGTTGAGAAGAGCCGCGTTGGTTGGGAGCTCTCAATTTGTTGAAAACGATGCCACCGTGACGCGTGCGTTTGTGAACGAGCGAAGTTCATTTCAGACCAAAGGAGCCCCCGTTTCTAAGAAAATAACACCCTCTCTGCTCCCGTTCGAGGCCCATAGTGTAATTCGATAACCAGAAATAGAAGCCATTACTACCTGTGGCACAACGCTCGTAGACAGGGCTGGGGCCTGTTGTGATTTGCCAAATGCACGTGCGCGTCAAGCTGAGGAATGTGCGTGTGAGTGCGGTGCCAACGCACTTATGGCGTCTACTCAGATTGGTCTATCCACTCCGAGCAGGTACAAAAGAGGGCGTGTATTGAAATTAAACTGACATTCCGCCAAGACATGGGCTGCATCCGAATCTATTGTTTAAAGCTAGGTCTAGGTCTTCGCTCCATTGGAAATGTGTGGAGACGCGTAGACAATAGACCTAGCCGTAGCTCTGGAAGCCCGTTTCGGACACGGCCATAGGTTACACATCAAACCGCGTAGACGCGCAAGTTTATGTACTTTTGGCGCAGAGCACACTGAGTATGCGCAGCAAATATAATCTAGAATGTACGGTCTTCGCGTGCACGCCGAACGCGCGTAAAAACCCGTTTGTAAAACTGTCTTTCTTTCGCCGGTGAAGGGTCACTTCAGCTTAGGGCGGATATTGTTTGATTACTTTTAAATCTGAGAAAAGGCATGAACCATCACAAACATACAAACGCATAGATCATCAGATCGCATTCCAAACTATCATGTACATTTCGTGATCTGCGCGGCGCCCGACTAAAATCAAAACAAGGGGCAAATTCACCCCTCGGTATGGGGAATGTACCGAGGACAGTTGAAGAATTCCAGCCTTAAATTTCTACGAAGCTATTTTTCGATTGTGAAAAAAATCCTCAGTTAACTTAATCTGGCTCGTGTAGATTAAAAAAATGCGGTTGCAACTCTTTAAAAGAAGACACAACAGTGCCAAAAAGCAAAAAAAGTGAATGTATTTTGGGTAAACATGTAAACAAAATTATGCAGGCAATGGAAGTGCGTTGCGCGTAATGCGCATTAAACGAGCTGTCATCCACTGTTCTGCCGACTGTTTACCTAACCGCTTCGAGCTGAACAAAAAAGGGCTTGTTTTTTGTTTTGTTGTTGTTGTTGTTGTTTTAGGGGGGGTACTCAATACATAGGCACGCCACGCATGAGGCGGGCAAGTATTTTTATGCGCGCCGAGTATGCGTCACAAATTTACTCCGGTATGTATGGTCTTTGCGTACACGCAGAACGCGTGCAAGAACCCGCTTGTAACCAACTGTCTTTCGCCGATTAGGGGTGCACTTCAGATCGGGGCGGATATTTTTCAAAATCACGGTTGTACGCGCGAGACTGACGGTCCATGCGTTACTCTGTATGAACAACAGCCGATGTGATGTAAACACGGATCAAATTTGCCGTAGCAAAGGGCAAACAATAGTGGGGTTGGGGATGCACTTCAAAGAACACGCTAGGGGTGTGGTCTCTTGGTACTTCCGATGTCCCCACAGACTTTCAGTATCTCTCTTTTTTAAATTTCTATAAGAAAAATTTCCGTCGCAATCTTAGCACTTCACTGATCCAGACAGGGATTGTCTATTTCAAAACAGTAAGCTAATACGTGACAAGCATGCAAGCAGAACCCCTTCGATGAGCAATTCCCTAGCCTGTCTGCGCGGTGCTCAGCCCCAGTCCCCGGGGCCCACTCACAGAAAACTCTCCCCCCCCCCGTTTCCGTCCTCCTCTGCTGACCCAGAAACGTCATGAACTCTGACATGAGAGGACATGATATCCGTTTTCGGAATGTCGAATAATAAGCGAGGGTAGTTCTGCTCCATATACAGGACTAGACCGTTCAATGGCCATTCAAGGACTCCTTTAGGAGGGAAATTAAGATCTGTCCTTTTCCCCCAAACCGATTCCTCGTCGCAACGAAGTACAGTGGCGTATCGATGTTTCAGGTCTGGGCTGTGAATGTAAAATGGATTTTTTCGAAAAGCTATGGCCCAAGCATTTTTATCGGTAAAAATTCCTCAACCTTTCGGGTGGTGCACGGAACTGTTAGCAGTTTCAATATCTAAAAAGAAAAAGAAGAAACGGTAACGTGTCTGCGGGCACACGTTGCCCCCCCCGGATACATCGCTATCGATTGTCAAAAAAGGAAAGAAACAGATTCAACGATTCATGGATGGATGTGCTATACAAAAACCATCACATTCACAATGACGTCATACAATGCTGTTCATTTCCGTATTACCGGTATTTCCGGTATTACACTCTCTCGATATCCCGAGAACATATAGGCTATCAGACCGTCTCTAAAATGGAAAGCTTCAAGAATCCCTGAGAGTAAGTCCTGACTCCAAACTATTTTGAGGCTCATAGATTATGATGAAGTTCCTCTATTAAAACAGTTTCGGGAGTCTGACCTTACGCGGAAATTCTCTATCAAGGTCTAGCTTGCAGTCAACTTTTTCGGGTATCGAGAAACACAATCCAAGCTTTTTACCCGTGCAGCCGAGGCCATTGGGCAGGAGAGCCAGGCCGTCGGGGCAGAAACATGTGAAGCCATCCTCGTACTGAATACAGCCAAATGCGCATCTGGTTTCGGAACAGCGATCGTCACCTAGCAAGGAGAAAGTACACAGAAACAAAATGATAGACCAACAAAAAACATCTCAAGGAAGCGAGCATAATGTGGGAGCACGGAGAGTCGGGCAGGATGAAGTGGGGAAATACCACGCGATGTGGCTTGATTTTGGCACCTGAAAGCAGATCAGCGTTTGAGTAGCTACGGCCATTTTGTGTTCAAAATTGAAAGCGCAAGACAGAGTCCAAATTGCTTTTCTGCGGCTTGAAGCTGAAATTACACACAGGTCTATATGGGAAGGGGCTGGAGAGACTACTCGTAGACACGTGTGTATTTTCAAGCCGCAGCCTTAGTCGGACACGGCCTAATCTGTCGCGCTCCCTTTTCTTATAATAGCGAGCCAATACTCTGGGTCAAAACTGTGCTCGTTAGAGTCGGGATTTACCAGCACAATCTTTAGTTTTTCACAATTGAATCGTCAGCAGTGTTGACTCTCAAATCAGCTTCCTAAAACTTTGAACATACAGAAGAAGGTAACCGTTAAAGCCACATAAATCAGAAATTGAAACACAGGTTGAGAAAGAAACGTTCAAGGTCTTTAAAACCCGTGTTCGCTTCGAGAGTAAACATTTCTTTGTCCTCTAAAGCACTCATATCAGAAACAACAAATAGTGAGATTTTATGAGTGGGGGTGTACAACGCCGAGTTTCCAATATCTCAGCCCAACCGCTTTTACCCGCAATTATCGGCGGATATCTGGACAGCGCCCGCTGTGATTCATGGCACTTCCTGTTTTTAACCTTCAAAGTCATTAAAAGTATATTTATTTAGCGCCGGGGGTGACGCCTGGCCTAAATGTGTTGTTGCTTTTTTCAGCGCTAAAATTGGAAGAATGTTTCTGTTCTAGCAGACAACACAGTTCTGGGAGTGTATTAACGCCCCTGCGTAGTCTATTTCTTTTCGGTAATGGTGAAAAGTGTGTTACCACATTATACTGCATGCAAGGTGTAAAGTTGATCTTCGACATTAAGTTTCCTTTGTTTAAGTGCAAGGATTTTTTTTAAAGAGTTGTCTGCTCTAGCTGTGTGGTCCAAGATCAAGGCTACAGCTCCTTTCCTATAGGTGTAAAAGGGGACGGAAAACTTCTTTGCAGTCAATGTACTGATGGACGCGATAAACTTCCCTTTCCTCGTCCACGATAAGAGAAAAGGGTTACATCGCGCAACTCTTCCGGTTACCTACGTGCTGGCTTATCGTGTCGTTCCTACCATTCATTCCCTGTGTTTTTCCACAAAAGCAAAACCAGAAGCAAAGTCCTTGGGGCACGCGCTGATATATCAGATATCCGCTATCTACCGTAGACGAACGTGCGCGCAGTGAGTTTTCAGACTTAATCATGTGAAATAACACTGGTATCATCTATACTGTAATTCATCCCGGCCTAAAACGAAATGCATTTCTCGCTTTGGGTTTCCTTTTTTTTCCCTTGCAGGTTATTTTGGCAAGAATAGCTCAAAGCCCTACGGGGGATGAAATGTTTCTATTCTGTTTTGAGTGCGTCTGCGATGGATCCTGTCTGATACGACAAGAAATGAGGGAGATGCAGGGAATTCTGTCTTAGCAACTACTGCTTTCATGCGACTCCCTGCTTTCTAAGTTACAGATTCCACGGAGAAACAAGTATAGATGCGCGTGATATTGCTTTGCAGCCAAATCGACAATTGTTTTCGTCTAGCTAAGAAAGTGCAACATCCCATTCGAAAAAGCCGCATGGTTGCTGTTGAAAGTGGAAATGACTATCCCTTTTGGTGTTTAGACGACAGACAATGACGATAGACAATGACGTCATGGTGAAGCCCTAATACGACACAATGAATTTTTAAATACGAATCTATGCTATTTGATATCTTATTTCAATTGGGAATTCTGTCATTAGGCTAATTCATATCAGACAGACTTGAATCTTCACCGATAATTTCATAAAAGACATTCAATGAGCACCCCCCATGAACGCATTTATTGTGATAATTATAATTATGAGTCACTATAGTTTTATCTTAAGAAAGACAATTTTAAACTGTGCCCACACATTCCCGTTTTGTTGCTCGTTGAGCGGACTTTTTTCTTTCTCTTTAATATCTCACTTCTGTTGCATGCGATAACCCCTTGAAGCTTCCGTTCTGTGCGTGAGTACACTCCCAGTATCTGTATCAAACCAAGGGATTTAGGTTCGTCCTGGAAATGTTTGTTCACTTACGGCTGCAGGACGTGCCGTCTTCAAGTAGGAGGTATCCATGCTCGCAATAGCAACGGAAGCTACCAGGTGTGTTCATACATCGGTGAGAGCAAGGCCGATTGCTACACTCGTTCAGATCTGGAAAAAGAAGATGAGGCAAGAGGAGAGAAGATGAGACAGGGTAGATGTCACAACCCGACAAAAATGTTGTGCAATCTAGGGTTTCACTTTTTGTGAAAAAAAAAATCACATTTTTGGTTGATAAACGGACTAATAAATGCTGCATGTGTTAAGCCAAACCGTATCAAGCCTAATCGTGCCGACTGGTCACAAGCATCATCTCCGAGAGTGCTCCATTTTGTTGTCTCTTTAACGGAAATACTAAAAGTCCAATTTGAGACCTAAGAGGTCTCAAATTGGACGAGAGGTAATGTTTTGTTTTTTATTCTGAAAATGCCTCTCTGTGCCAAATTAAACATATAGGCCTACGAAGTTCTGTGTCAAAAGGTGGTTTAACAAAAGCCTGACAAATCTTGTGCCTGTTCAAATAAAAAAAATCAAATTAATAAACGTCCAGGGATGCTGACTCGGGGCCTTGCCATGCTAAGTGGGTGGCGTGCCATTCACAGAATACCTTCCGGGCTCTCTTCCACTCGATTAATCACCAATTACTTTTCCATTCTGCACTCCAGGAAAAGACTTAAGAGTGCAAACAGATCATGGCTGACGGAACAGATATTTTAAATACAGTTACAAAATAAATCCGGACCGGAACAATCAAATGGATGCCGAGGGTGAACGGACATTTCCATCCGGGTTCAAGTATCCGTTTTTCAGGTTCGAGATATCAGCCAGCTGCCAGAAGAACATTAAAGCCTTCATCATGAATTTAATTAAATTCTTGGGTAAAGAAAAGAGGGCAATCTTGATGTAATTGCAAAGAATAAACTGAAAACACAAGTTCCTCCCCGGAAGAGTTTAAGTCAACAACCAAATTAATGGGTACATTTCTTTAAATGTTGTCCCAGTTTACGTCTTGCACTCACTGTGCTGAATTATAAAGAAAGCCGTACGTTCGCTCTTTAATTGGTTGAGTTCCACACTTTTAGTTTAGAAGGGTAGTTCCACGATGCTCGAGGAATAAACTCAGTTATTCCAGAATCCTAATACAATCTGCCATATCGGCTTGGAGGCACTTTGGAGTTACAGCTCCGCCCTGTAAGCCTTCAGTCCAGGAAAACGTGGAAAAAAAATGTTCAGAAAGCACACAAACTAAACCTACATCATTAAGCATTCAAACAGAACACTAAGGCATAAACACAATAGAAAATGTAGTCCGCTGATCTTTTGGTATAAGCCAGGGCATATAGTTGTTTGCCAAATTTATGAAATCTCAATCTGTTGTTTGTTAATACGCGTACATGAAATTCCCAGTTTGTTTATTGGCTGGTTTCCAATAGAATGAAAAAAAAATCCAAACTTCCCATCTCGGGTCAATTTGAAGATGTGTCCACAAATGAATAAGCCGCTTGATGGGGTAACCTTCTCCTTGGGAGTTCATGCGACCTCAAGAGAAACGGAATGTCTCCAATGACGCAGCCCAATCATCGTCAGATTAGGGCGAGGAAGACAGATAAGAAAGGCGGGGGGAAAGGAGCTTTGAGGGGCAAATAGGACTCGGGACGGTCTGTTGGATGGGGCGAGTGGTGAATCGTTTGCAAACTCAGCTATAGGCCCGACCACTCGCTGGATCACTGCCCAGAAGTCGGTGTTTTCACCACCCCAAATCAGATGGCTTTCCTTCGGTACATACATGCCTGCGCCCTGGCATTTACACTAGCTCATGTAGCATGTAGTCTACCCTGTGATGAAGTTGCATTTATTCTCGGAAACTGTTCTCTCCTATACTCTTTCTTTCTGTGCTGAGTTGATGGTGTTACCTCTTTTTTTTTTTTGGTAGTTTAACACTAGAACAAAATGGAAGGAGCCTACGGCTTCATTTCTCTATGCTCATGACAATCTTACGTAACTAATAACGTAACATCTCAATTAAATGACTGCAGTTTTATTGGAATGTGGAAAGGCCTTTTAACCCTAAAACTATACAAACCATGATTTGATACCATTACACAGCTCAGACGGATTCCACCTGGCTTACAATGATGTTACCGCATGTCGTCAATTAGGCTCAGTAATTAAACGGCCGAATAAAAACCAAGCCGCGACAAGTCATAAAACTCGTGCCACATTACGCCTCGCCAGCAATGCAGGTGGACTGTGCCCGAAGACGAATCCAAATTAAGGCCTAAATAGCCGCATGTTCCAATTCTAAATCGGCTGCCTATCTAATGAACCATTATATCGACTTGCTTGCATAAACCTCTGTAATATTTCACCCTTATTTGGGCCTTGCCATGTAAACACTGGTGCGGTTTTTTTTCCGGTGCGTTTTTTTCCAGTGTGCAAAAAGATATAAGCTTTCCAGTACTTTCCTTCACCGGTATTCGACGTCAGCAAAGGACAGGGAAGTCACATTGGAGGAATTCCAAGTCGTCTGAAGTGCATCAATTAAATACCCTGGATGGCTACATTGCGGGCCGCGGCTGACATACTTCAGACCCGCTGGTAAACGCTCATGATATTGTACCGGGTGTTGTATTTGTGCGCGTTGGGAAACAGCTGACATGGGGAAAGGGACTGGTACTTTCCCCAGATTGGCCTGGGTGGAAACGAGGTTGTCTGTCGCTACTTGTCAGGAAGTGCCAATCTCTCCTGCCTTGGAACCCGCGGAGGATCGTTACATGGCATTATTCGAAAAACAAGTGCATGGGCCTTCTCCTAAATACTATGTAAATGCTTTCGATCGGACATCTGCAGAACCAACTTTTATTTAGATTGTTTTACGACCGATCGTACATTGTCAGATCGGTCTGCCCTCTCTGATGTCTTCAGACCGTGCCTCAAAGCAAGCAATTGTGACCTGCCACCGTAAGTTAGAACCAAAAAAACACGAAGACAGTATCGATTTGGACAGAACCTCCAGTCAAGCGCTCTCGATGTTAGAATAATGTACGCAACTAACTGGGGTGGAATTTTTATGTATCGTTTTGCCGCTGTCATTGGGTTTTCTCACCACAGTGGTTGAGTTCATACTGAAATACAGAATCCGTGTCCCATTCGACCTAACCATTTCTGGGTCAAAATGGCCTTTTTCTGGTTCATTTTGATCTGGAGAGGGTCATATTTTGATCCGAAAAGGGAGGTCTGACCCTGGGTGTTCTCAGAGTGTGCACAAGACACGGCGAGGCCTTCAAGATGCTACATGATTGACCCTACATCAGCTTTAAACACGTTCATTTTGTTGGCAATACATCAAGCACCGAGCACAGTTTAAGCCTTTGATTACCACTGGCTTGTGATGGTTACCAGTGAGAAGATGCCCCTCGTGTAAGATCAACGACATCGAGTCACCAAATATGAAAACACAGGTCTTATGGGTGGCTTTGGTACACCTGAAAATACTAAAAATAAAGGACATTCATGGTTAGTAAGACTAACCATCGGGGTAAAGAGCTTGTTCGTGTAACAATACCCTCCCCACTATAAGGCCCTGTTTTTCCTCCATCTGCAGTTGGTCGGTCTATTTATAAACTCCCACCAAGAAGAGGAAATTGGGTCCTCTTGCGGATGCAAGATGCTGAGTTCACGAGGTCCTGCACCGGGGTACAGAGTTCCAATGTATGAGACCAATGGCGCCGGTTGACTAACGGCACTTGCTTTTCGTGTTACCCAGTTCTTAAAACGAGTGGGAAAATTTCAGGGCTCCCCAAACCTGTAGCCAAGCATTTCTGGATAAACAGAAGCAGAACAGCGAAAGACCTTGGAGAACAGCTCAAAAAAAGAAAGAAAGAAAAGATAACATGACGGAACAACGTGTTTATAAAATCCATTTTTATACGGGTTTGGCCCTCACACGAACGTTTGTTCATTACACTGTATTACTCAGTGTTTGAAGGAGAGCTTGCCAAAAACTTCTCAAGTTTAATCGGGTGGGATTCGAACCAACGACCTCCTGCTTATGAGTGCAGGCTAGCGCAGACTTTGTGAATTTTGTTTTGCAAGCTCTCGTACAAACACTGAATATACAGTGTTATAATCATACATCGGTGTTTGGGCAAAACCCGTTATCAAAAATTACCACCTCAACGACTCAAAGTACATCTTACAATAGTTTGTGGTGTAGGCCTACAATATTATTTGCATCGGGCTGGCATGTCTGAACCTAGACAGACCTTTGGGCACAAACAAGAACACAGCATTGAAGTTTACGACCGTTACTCAACGTTGGGATTCATATGGAGACATTTCTGAAGGGGCGGGTAAAACACTAAACACATTCCTTAAGGGCACGGCAGGAAGTAGCGCTGATGAAAAGGGGTCGACCAGCAACAGGATCACGCTCGACTCAAGCAAATCTGGGAAAAGGTGTGAGTAACGGCAGTTTCTGGCACGCGATTCCACGGCCTTGTAAAAAGCTCCATACCAGCGGGGTGAGAATTGGATTTTTTCGGCCTAAATTTTCAGATAGACATAGGTAAATCTTAAGGCCCTAAACCAAGAGACGAGAGATGCAAAACTCTGTCACAGCGTCCACCATTTACCTGGTGCATTTGAAGAATCAACCTACACGGCTGAAAGAATGCAACATGATCGAAACGTTGTAATTTTTTTTGTGCCGTGGTTGTCCCTGCTTCCTGTATCTACATAAACCAAAGTCGGAAATCGGATTTGGCTTTGCACTGAAAGAAACAATTTCTGGATGAGGTTACATCTGTTCCCAGCGCGACATGACCGCTCAGAACGTACCCCTCACGATCACCACAACCTGTCATTTAGTCATCTCCCCCACTTGTCATCATTCGGATACAACCGCACGTGGCACCGACCTGAACTTTCTGTTTCCTGAAAGAAGCTGATGCTGGTGCGGAACACGGAAGACATCAATGAGCATGGTGGACAGTTGATCCGCGGGAGCGGTCACTTGTTACAACACATTCAACAGGGATACGGGGTTCATAGTTGTCATCAGTTTATGTCATGATCGCAAAGATGTGTCATGCTTCGAGGCACAACTACCG